TGTGTGTGTGTCTGTGTATGTGTGTGGTAGTGGTGCCAAGAATTGAGCCCAGGGCCTGTGAATGCAAGGGAAGCACTCTACCAACTGAGCTATATCCCCAGCCCTATCATTTGTATTCTTGAGAACTTGTTTGGAGGTTCTAGCAGGGGACCCGCCCTCCTCTATTGGGGAAGTTCATCCTCTTCGATCAAGTGCACAGCTTTGGGAGGGATACACATGGAGAGGTGAGGGACACAGCCTACCCAGCCAGATCAGCCCAATCAACCCTGGTGATCAATGGGGTGACAGATGTCACAGCCATATTGTCCTCACATTTTCATTTGTATTCTTGATAATTACTCTTCTGACTGGAGTAAGATGAAATTTCAATGTAGTTTTGGTTTGCAATTTCCTGATTGCTAGAGATGTTCAACGTTTGTTTCATATATTTGTTGGATACTTGTATTTATTCTTTTGAGTTAGGTTTTTGTGTGAGAGTGTGTGTGTGTGTGTGTGTGTGTGTGTGTGCATGTATGTTAAGTTTTTTGAGTTCTTTGTATATTCTAGATACTAATCCCCTGACTGAAAAGTAGGTTTTCAAAGATTTTCTCCCATTCTGTAGGTTCTCTCCTCATGCTCTTAATTGTTTCATTTTCTGTACAGCATTTTAATTTGATGACCTCCTACTTATTATTCTTGGTTTCACTTCTTGTGCTCTAGGAGTCTTGCTAAAGGAGTCAATTCCTATGCCAATATGTTGGAGTATTGAGCCTACATTTTCTTCTAGCAATGGCAGAGTTTCTGGTCTGAATCCTATGGCTTGATCCACTTTGAGTTGATCTTAGTGCAAAGGGAGAGATAGGGGTCAGGTTTCATTTCTCTACACATGGATATTCAGTTTTCCTAGTACCATTTCTCCAAGGTTTGTTTTTGACACCTTGTCAAATATCGATGTGGATTTTTGTCTGTCTTCAATTCCATTCCACTGGTTTGCATGTCTGTTTTGGTGTCAATACCATGCTTTTTTTTGTTGTTGTTTTTTTTTTTTTGTGTGTGTGTGTGTATGGTGCTGGGGATTGAACCCAGGGTCCTGTGCATGTAAGGCAAGCACTCTACCAACTGAGCTATATCCCCAGCACCCAATACCATGCTTTTTAGTATTACTATTATTATAGCTCTGATTGGTATAAGGTTTGATATTGTGATGCCTGCAACATTACTCTTCTAGTTTAGGATTATTTGTCTATTCTGCATCTCTCATTCTTCCAAATGAATTTTAGAACTGTGTTTTTAGTTCTGTGAGGAATGCCACTGGTATTTTCATGGGAATTGCATTGAATATGTATAATGCTTTTAGTAATATGGATGAAGGTTCTCCTTGGACATACAACATATTTTATGTCAGTGGACATGAAAGTGGATTTTCTTGGGGAAGTTCCCACGGAGGAGGCATCTCTCTGTTTGAGGAATGTTGTGATATACCGCAGTGAGGTCAAGGATAGCATCAAGATTCTTACCTTCTCTTGGACGGTCTGCTACAAAAGTAAAGCCTGTAGCTCTTGGCTGTGAGACATATTTATATTTCTGAAGTCCATTATTTTTAGTAAAATCATTACTTTGAGCTTTGCTGTTTTCTGTGAAATCAATCCCTTCTAGGTCTATGAGGAACTGAAGTAGTTCATGGATATCACAAAAATAATCAAGCATATCTTCAAAATGGCTTTGTCATCCTTTCATTTGCTTTGATAAAGATATAGGCAGCAGTCTGCATGGCCCAACCAAATCCAGGAACATTTTTGAGACTAGCTTTAAGGCCAATTTTCTCCCAACTGAGGTAGCCATATCTCATCAGACAATTTCACAGGCACATCCAGTCCATTCTTGTCTGGCGGCTCATGATTGTAGGAGTTCTGTGTTTGGGATTGGGGTCTCTGATAAACTTTGTGATTGTGGCATGCTTGGTGACTAGGAGATTTCTGTGAAAAGACACAGAATGCCTGTCTTCTAAGGAGTTTCTGGGCAAAGACATGGAATGCCTGGCTGCTGGGAAACTCCTGTGCAAAAAACAGGATGCCTGGCTGCTATGGCAATGTTCTTCACAAAGAAACTATTTGTTGGAGCCTTATCAGTTTCGACCTTCATCTCAGGCACACAGATCTTCAGAATATAGAATCTTGCAGGTATTCTGACAGTGAAATGTACAGGTCCCTCTGGTGAGCAAACTCCCAGGGGTGGGGAGGGGGGCTGTGTAACAGGCATTGTTTCCCACGCTTGGAATGCCCAGCAGTTTCTCCTTGAAGCTAGCAATATAACTATACAGGTGCAGTATCTAGTCACTATGGTAATGTCCTTAGAAAAAAGGGGGCTGTCTTAATCAGCCCTGACTGAGTATCTAGCACCTGGGATTAAAGGAATACTAAATAATAATGTAGTCATGGTACTAATGAGTTATGTGATGTTTGAGATAAATAAACACGGCTGATTGGGAGGGGCAGCCACTCTTTCTTTCTCTTTTCTGCCTCTGCATCTTATCTCTGTGTCTCCTTTTTTTTTTTATTGGTTGTTCACAACATTACAAAGCTCTTGACATATCATACTTCGAACAATAGTTTCAAGTGAGTTATGAACTCCCATTTTTACCCCAAATACAGATTGCAGAATCACATAGGTTACACATTCACATTTTTACATAATGCCATACTAGTGACTGATGTATTCTGCTACCTTTCCTATCCTGTGTCTCCTTTTTATTTTCCTTAGGTAATAACATTTCTTTCTCCGGGTACAAACGCATCACCTGTTTTAATCACTTTTACAACAAACATGGTCCCCAACAATGCCTCAAGCTTTTATTTTTTAAAATTTTTTGATACTGAGGACTTAACCCAGGAACGCTTAACCACTGAGCCACATACCCAGCCCTTTTTTTATATTTTATTTAGAGACAAGGTCTCAATGAGTTGCTTAGGGGCTCACAAAGTGCTGAGGCCAGCTTTTGAATTTTGATCCTTCTGCCCCAGACTCCTGAGCTGCTGGGATTCCAGGTGTGGGCCACCTTGCCTAGCTAGGATCCTGCTTTTAGAAAATTTGTTTAGTAAATAGAAATCACTTTGTTAATGCTCGTGGGTAAGAAACATCACATCTTATTTTTTCCTGATATATATATATATATATCACCTCGTCCTTTTATTGCCAGCTTAGATTCTAGGAGTCCCAACTCAGTCTTTTAGAGAATTTTTTTCTTCTTTTAGATAAGAATCCACAGCTTCACGATCTCTTGACAAGAGGCTAGGGACACAAGGCCCCAGGTTTGATCCCCAGTGACCAGTTGGCTAGTGCTTACCCCACCACCACTTGCTTTGAATAAAGATACAGGCAGCAACCTGCATGGCCCAACCAAATCCAGGAACATGGATGAGTTCAGGGGAGAGGGTACTGGGGGGTGGAGTGTCAGACTTTGGGGCAGAATATACCACTTATTCATTGCCAGTGTTTATAGTGACTTTATTTCATAATTGCAAAAATCCAGAAATGACCTAAAAGTCCTTCTGGGGTTGAATGGATAAGCAATATAAGATAATGGATAAGTGCATATAAGTAGATAGTAATCAGCAATAAAATATTGATTCATACAATAAAGATAATTCTTAAAAGCACTGTGCTGAATAAAAGAAACCAGTCTTAAGAGATTTCATACTTTATGATTCCATTTCTATTACATCTGGACAAGTCAAAACTATTGTGATAGATAGCAAATCATTGGCTGGCATGGGTTAGGGACATAGGAAAGGTGTGAATACCCTAAACAGATATCCTTTCTAGAGTTTTATAGAGATGGAACTATTTTGTATCATTTATAATTTCATAATTCTATGAATGTCTTAAAACTCATAGAACTAGATGCCAAACACACACTCACACATACACATACACACACACACACCCCAAATTTACTGTATGTTATCTTTTTAAAAGAGCAAAATTCCACAAAAAAAACAAACAAAGCTAAAAGTTAATTCTATAAAGACCAATAAAGTTCACAAATCTTAAGCAAAGCTGATCAAGAAAGGGAAACCAGAAACTACAGAAATTGCCAATTTCAGGAACAAATGAGGGGGCACACTATTGGTCTTACAGACATTAAAAGGATGTTAAGGAAATGTGAACAACTTTATACCAACAACTTTGACAGTTTAAATGAATTGGATAACTTTTTAGGAAGAAGAGAACTACTTCCTCATACATTTCATTGACTAGAACTAAATAATATGGCTGTTCTTAGCTGCCAGAAAGGCAAAGTGGAAAAGCAAAAGGAAAAAGGATGGTTACGAATATCTTAGCTTAATCACAATTGTTGCCTATGGCTGGGCATATTATTGCCTGCCTGCATAAATCCAAAATATCAGGATGTCCTAGAAGTAAGGAGGTGGGCTGTATGTGGGAAGCTAATGTCTGCCAGTGTTGGGTTTTCAAATCACTTGTAATCCAAAGATTCCTGGCATCACTGCACTTATTGGCTCAAATGGAAGACTGTTATGGAAACTGCACTCAGCAAAAGACCAAGCACAACTAGGAGGGTTGGAGAACCCAGGCTTATTTATGTCCCATTGGACCCAGATGAGCTAGTGCTATGAAGTTCTGGGCCTTGAGCTAGGTCACATGGGCTCTTTATAGGAAATTCGGCATCATTCCTTAACCATTACAACAATGGTAGGTTATAATTCTTGACTTTCATGATGAAGGATCTTATGCAGAAATTTTATGATAAGTAGTTCACAGGTGCAGGACAGAGACAGTAAAACATTTGTGTTATCATGAAGTGTCCTTTTCCACAGGTCACAATAACTAAAGATGACTTGAGTTTATCTCCCTAAGATAGATATAGATATAGAATATAGATATTTTAAAAGAGGACCCTATTTTTCCAGGGTATTCTCTTTTTAAAAATATTTATTTTTTAGGTGTAGATGGACACAACACAATGTCTTTATTTTTTTTATGTGGTGCTGAGGATCAAACCCGGGTCCCGCCCATGCTAGGGGAGTGCTCCACCACTGAGCCACAATCCCAGCCCAAGAGCTATAATTCTAAAAACTAAAGTTACAGTTTAGACAGCAGTTAACTGTCATGGTGACTTAAAATTTATAAATTTATACTATTATAAATTAATTTATAATAGTAATTAATTGATGTAGCTATACTCCTAAAAGGTTTACAAAGCTTAAGAAGAAACTTCACAGGTATCCATTGTCTCTGGTCTTGAAGCTTGTCACAGGGATGTTTACATATCAAGAGAGAGTCCTCAGGCTTCCTACCTATAGCTATTTACAACCCAATAGATAGGGACCCAAGGTTAATTAGGTTCCCTGCAGAGAAGCTGGTTTAGGGTTGGGGGAGAAATTAACCCTTTCCCCAGGCACTGATTCTTTATTATAATGTTCATATAATTCCATTTTAATCAGGTTTGGTTTCTCCACCACAAGAGTACTTAAAATGCCCAGCTGAAAGATTGAGAGTTCCAAATTAATTTTTAGAGAAAAGCCAAGGAAAGATTGTTTTGGGTAGAATCTGATAACACCAAACCAGAAGATCTGTGCTTTCCTAACAATGGGAAAACTTTTCTTGTTTCCCCTCCACTATCTCAGGGTGTCTGCCTTTTCTGGGCATAATAACTTATATGAAAGCACCCCTGGTATTCTGTTCTTCTCTATTGTCACACTTCTACACTGCCTTGTAGATATTTGTTTTCTTGTCTATCTCCTGAACAAGATGGTCATGTTCAAAGAAAGAATCATAACTCATTTTCTTTATTTCTAACTCTCTGGCAACCAGGTAGTATCTAACTTTTTTGTTTGTTTGATTTATCATTAATGAATGAATGAGATGTTTGGTATCAAGACCTGGCAAGGTTAAAAGATTTAGTGGTAAAGAAATGAGCATTTTTAGACTTAGATTATTATATAGACAATGGAAGCAAAAGTAGTCAAAGGTGCCAGTCCTCCCTGAGCTTCTGTCTCATGAACTCAAATGATGACAGCAAAATAAAGTGGGCAAAATGAGTTACGGAAACTTTGTTGCTGAAGGGCAAATGCTGTTGCAGTTAAACATTTAATAGCCTACCACTGTACTGTTAGAGGGTGAGACAGAAGACTCACTAGAACCCAGGAAGCATAAGAAATGGCCTCCTAACAGTCTCCTTGAAAGACAGGGAGCTGAGAGGGAAATGGCCTTGTAGTAGCTTCTCACAAGCCTCTCAGGCTCTCATGACCACAGGGTGCTTTGCCAAGACTCAGATTAGCTGTGGTTCAAGCCTTGCCTTGGTGGCCTGTGTGGATTTGTCAGCACTGGTATCGAGAGCTGTTCCCTATGCTCAGGCTGCCAAGAGGAACACAATGCTCTATCTTGACTAGAGCTATAAGATGTTAACAAGGGCCACCATTCAGGAAACAGTTGACACAATGGAGCTCAGAAGGATGGTATTTCAAAGTGGGTGTTGTTGGTCCCCATCTTCAAAAGAGTAACTTAGTGAAGAAAGCGTCATTCTGGTTTCAATTTACTATTTTAGAAAGAATTAGGAAAGGCTTTTGTAAAATTTTGCAATACTTTTAGCTTCTGCAAACATTTTTATTTGATATTTATACTTTTGCTTTCCAATGTTAATCATATGTAAAAACAAAGTAAAACAAAACAGAATAAAAATATCTTGCATAGTCACAAAAGAAGGAAAGGTTGGAAAGTGCAGCCAAGCTGGATGGAGACAGTAGCCAAGAAGGAGAGTTAAAAAGCTGGATTTCTGCAGCCTCCTACAAGACAGTTAGCAGGGGTTATGGGAAGATGAGCTGTGGTCAGAGTGAATAGTAGTGCTATGCCATTGGCTGCTCACTCACTTACCCTTTTATTCGTAAATCTGAGACAGGCTAAGGGCACTTTTCAGAGGGTACTTTCCTGAATGGGACAAAAAAGAAGAAGAAGAAGAAGAAGAAAAAAAAAAGAATTCTGAGATTTTTGGAATGTTTCTGGAAGGCTGGACCTAGGCTTCTAACAAAAGATCTTAAACAGCAGGGCTCTCTTGTGTGGTTTCTGATGTCTGACATCAAAGGCAGCAATCTGACCAGTCCACAATTCATTCATTTATTCAACAAAGTTTACTGAGTTCTGTATGTACCAGGCAGTCAGCATCCTGGGACTGGGTGGGGATACTGTGGTAAACAAGGCAGTAGAAGTTCCTGTCTCTACCCAGGACTTACAGGCAAAAACAAAACAGGTAAATAAATAAATGAGATTACCTCTAAATAGTGCTATGAAGGATGTGGAGGCTTCCAGAAGGAAAGTGAGGCTGAAGCTCCTAGGCCACATTGAGCCGAAAAGCTTTGGTCAGAGAGGTAACAAACTACAGAAGATCTTGCAGGTCAATGTTAGGAGTTTTTATGTTATACTTAAGGTAGCTGAGATCCATTGGAGGACTTTAAAGGGGAATGAAGTGTTCTGACTTACATTTTTAAATGATTATGTCTACAACTGTTTTTTGGCACAAAATATCCAGGCTGAAGTCAGATGCTCACGCATTCTGCAAATTCACTGCGACCTTAAACTGGAGTTTTGAGATGAGACTATGTTTCCCACTTGGCCAAATTCCTCTGGGTCTCCTAATTTTTGAAGAATAAAGTCCACAATCCTGGAAGGGAAGAGTAAATGGAGCAGGATTTAGTTAAACAAGAAGAGAGAGAACTCCTGCCACATGGGAGGTGGCCTGATAGCAGAAAAACCCATTTTGGTGTGTCAGCTTAGGAGTTTATATATAATTCTGGCTAGAGCATGAAGCAAAAAATATGTTAAACAGGCATTGAAAAGTATTATGGCTATTGTCTTCCTTTCCATGCGGATTCACTCCCACATTCCTTCCTGGAATTTCCATCTGGGTTCCACCCGTCCCCCACCTTCCCAAGGAAGTAATTGGCTGGAGGTATTCCCATAGGTGAGCCTCAAGTCTGTTATATTTGAAATAGGCTGTGGTGGTGCTCAATATGTCTACTGAATAAGACCAACCATTGATATTCTTATTCAATATCATTGCTAGAACTCAACCTGCCTCATTTTGCTTCTGATATACATATATAAATTGGTCATAATAAAACTCTGTGACATAGCTGGTGTGAGCCAAAGGTTTGAGCCATGTCTTGGTTTCAAATCTTGATTTCCACGTAAGAGTTAGGAGCTCTTGGCAAATTATTTGTGCCTCACTTAGCCTGAAATGGGCATAATAAAAGTTCCTACATCATAGAAGTTTTGAGAAAAAACAAAACAGTGCATGTATAGCACAGGGACAGTAGCCAGCATCATGTCGTAAGCTTTCATAAATACTGACTTTTACTCTTCCAGGGGATTACTCACATGATATAATGCATGAAAGGGTTTGTGAAACTGAAAAGACTATCTTAACGGCAGCATTCCCCCTTTTCCTTTTTTTTTAAAAAACAGAACAGAATGCTGGGCTATTCGAGCAGAGGCGCTGGGCCAAGCGCAGCCTCAAAGCGGTCATTGTCGTTAGGCCGCCCTTCCCCCACCTGGAGTGCATCTCCATGGCAACGCGGGGCTTTGCCTCTCTCCGCCTCCTCGGGCCTGCAGACCGGAAGGAGTCCGCTCCGGGGGCTTCTGGGAAACGGCTTGTAAGCGGCGTTTCTGCGTCTGCCTTGGACAGCGAAGCTGCTGCGGTTCCTGAGCCAGAGGTTTGCGCAAGTTGAGGGAAGGGTATGAGGAGGAGGGGGACGCCGGGCTACGGTCTGCGGACCTTTTAGCAGAAACCGGCGAGGAAGCTGGCGGGAACCTTTCTCAGCTTCCCAAGAGGCGCGGAGAAGGGGCCATGGTCTCCGCGCCTAGCAGTTGAGGGGCGGGAAGGGGTCAGCGGGAGGCCCGCCCGAGCCTTAGGCATTCGCCGGGAGTTCTACGTTGCTTCTGCCCTCCGAAGCCCTCGTTTTCCCCCTCCCCCACCTGCCGGTTTTGTTCTATTTCGAGGCCCTGGCGTCTCGCAGAGGCTTCTGGGAGTTATCTCGGCGGAGGTGGAGACTGGGCGGGCCTTGCGCGGGGGCTGCCGGGACTGGTAGTTCCGCTTGCCGCGGGCGGAAATGTCCTGGATTCGAGGCGGTGGTGACTTGTTGGCCTCTGGTAGTCTGTGGTGGCGGCTCGGAGTGCTGGGAGGAGGGGCTGGAGGACTTCGGGACGAAGCTGGTATACACAGCGAGTCTCTGCAGGATTGAGGCAAGATCACCTGGGATCAGTCACCCGACCAAACACTGGGGACTCGAGGCCTGCCTCCCAGCTCTCCGCGTGCCCCAGGAGCCGAGTGCTATGTAGCATAAAAGGAAAATAAATTTCTCTTATATAGAAATGCTTGAGCCATTGGTAAGGTCGGATCCTGGGATAGGGATGAGTAAATCTTTTGGCTAGACTGCTGGTAAGACCACCACATCCAGAGTATTTAAACCCGTATGTATTACCTGCTGGATAAAGCATTTTCGGATTCTTACTCTTCGTCTTGATCAGTTACAAAGTTGTTTTTGTAAGTTACAGCTTTTATACTCTGGAGCTTGAATACATGTAGTAACTCTATGGCTCATTCTCAATTCGTGGCCTCCGCATGACTATGCAAATACTAAGTAAGGGATCAGAAAGTAGCACAAAGATTCCCTGAAGTTAGAACCTGGGAAAACTGAGTCATCCAGTATAAGAGACTCTGAACTACTGCAAGAAGTTAAAGTGGTTCTGAGAATGTCTTTTCTTTGTTTTTTTTTTTTTTTGTTATTATTATTTTTTGGTACTGGGAATTGAACCCAGGTCCGTTTAACCACTGAGCCACATGCCCAGCCTTTTTTAATATTTTTATTTAGAGATAGGGTCTCACTGAGTTGCTTAGGGACTTGCTGAGGCTGGCATTGAGCTCACAGCCTCCTGAGCTGCTGGGATTTCGGGCTTGCCCCACCATGCCCAGCTTTTGAGAATGCCTTTTCTTAACAGAATTTACTGTTTAATGCCTGTCATTATAAATTTAAATATATTTATGGTATGGTGAATGAATAATATTTGCATGTTACTATGCAAAATAGCATTTTTTCCAGTTTATGTGATCTGTTACTGAGCAAGTAACATTTTTTCACCCTATATTTTAACTCCACAGAGTTCTTAAATGTCTTTTAAAAGTAGATAATTAAAAAGCAGTATGGGTGTGCATGTAACTCAGCTCAGTGGTTAAGCACATTTGAGAGCATCTTGACCATGGCACCACACAAAATAAAATAAAATTTAAAAAGCCGTTACTTTTAAGTTGACTCAAGTAAGTCAGGGAACACCAGCCCTAAATTGTACATAATGTGTTCCAAGATCAAGCGCATTTAGAAGACCCTGATTTAGACCAGTTCTTGCTCGGATTCATTTGATTGTTGAAATAGGGTTTGTCAACTTTGTAGGTCATAGTCTGACAAGGTTTTTCTGTAAAGGACCAGATAATAAAAATTAAGGTTTTTAGGTCATATCGTCTGTGTTGAAACTACTTAATTCTGCCATTGTAGTATGAACCATGAACAAATAAAACAATTTATGGATATAGACATTTTAAATTTACATTTTCACATCATGCAATATTTTTTTCAACCATCAAAAAATTTCAGACTTTTCTGATGTGTTATGAAAACAGACATCAAGCTAGATTTGGTTTCAATCTGTAGTTTTGCTGACTCTGGTATAAGCTTTTTATTGCTCTTGTTGATGATGAATCTTTATTTATTTTTATGTGGTGCTGAGAATTGAACCCAGTGCCTCACACATGCTCGGCATGTGCTCTACCACTGAGCCACAACCCCAGGCCTGGTGTAGGCTTTTGATTGGAATTTTTAATCCAGTAAAAGAACAAATATTTTTTCTTTATCAGTATAAATCCAAATTCTTAGTATATTTAGTCACATGTGTTTTTCTTTCTTGTGCCTCAGGAGTACCTGTGAAGAAAACAGGACATTTTTTTGAGGATTTTATCCTGCCTTTATTGTCTTTTCTTGAAGTATTACAAATCAGGATGTCTGCACAGTCCGTGGAAGAAGATTCAATACTTATCATCCCAACTCCAGATGAAGAGGAAAAAATTCTCAGAGTGAAGTTGGAAGAGGATCCTGATGGTGAAGAGGGATCAAGCATCACCTGGAATCATCTCCCTGATCCAGAGGTTTTCCGACAGCGATTCAGGCAATTTGGATACCAGGATTCACCAGGGCCCCGTGAAGCAGTGAGCCAGCTCCGAGAACTTTGCCGTCTGTGGCTCAGGCCAGAGACGCACACAAAAGAACAGATCTTGGAACTAGTGGTGCTGGAGCAGTTTGTTGCTATCCTGCCCAAAGAGCTACAGACTTGGGTTCGAGAGCATCATCCAGAGAATGGAGAAGAAGCAGTGACCGTGCTGGAGGATTTGGAGAGTGAACTAGATGACCCTGGACAGCCGGTGAGCCTGCTTGCATCACCTTTCCCGGGGTCAGAAGCACTGATATAGCAGTTGGTCAATTGCTGAGTTAATTTCACTTGATTGAATTAAAATTATTTCTATGCCTTCTTCCATATTTCCTTACCACTCTCTTTCTGTGTCTTTTGGCCATCTGGGCCTTTGCAGTAGATATTTTGTATGGTTTTTCTTGGATGTGTTTAGTAATAATTCTTTTTCAACTAAACCAAAATCATCTTTCCAGGTTTCTCTCCGTCGACGGAAAAGAGAAGTACTAGTAGAGGAGATAGTATCTCAAGAAGATGCTCAGGGATTGCCAAGTTCTGAGCTTGATGCTGTGGAGAATCAGCTCAAGTGGGCATCCTGGGAACTCCATTCCTTAAGGCACTGTGGTAAGGACCAAAACTTTGTGTGGGCTTTTTTCCAGAACTGTTTTCTTGTTCTTATTGTAGGGGGACTTTTAACCCAAGTCCTTGGACAGACATACTATAAAATCCTTGATTTGGGGGGCCAGGGATGTAGCTTAGTGATAGAGTGCTTGCCTATCAAGCACAAGCCTTGGATTTTGAGTCCCAGAACTACCAAAAAAAAAAAAAAAAATCTTGGGTTCTTTTCTGATAAAAGTTTAAAAAAAATCTTGGGTTCTTTTCTGATAAAAGTTTGATTGCTGACCTCAAATCTTCCACCCCGCTCCCTGGGACATCTCAGCCTTTTCTTCCCTCTTTTCTGAAGACCTCCCATGTCACACTAGCATTTGTCTTACTCTGAGCCAGCACCCACCTATAGACCAGGTCCTTCTATTTTATACTTAGTATTGCTTATTTGTCATCTGAATCTGTTTTCTATTTACTCTTAGTTTCCTGTCTAATTCTATTATAATAAGTTTATCTCATGCCTCTTACCTTTTAGTTTATTATATATCACTGAAGTTTTCTAAATTTTTAGCTACTTCTTTTTTTCCCTCAATGTGCTACCTAGAATCATTTTTTTAAAAACTTTTTTGTAAAAATGATTTTTAGGGTAAATTCTTTCTTTTTTCTAAGTATTTATGCAAAAATAGACTTTCTAGCTATAATCTCTGAATGCAGGAAAATTAAGTTAAAATTCCACAATTGTAATAATTCACTTAGATCACTTGTTCTCTCTATATTGGCAATGAATGCCATGTACCTACTTTTTTATACTTTGATACAACCCAGTGTATTTTAAAAATGTCTGGATTTCCTTTTATATTTACGAGTTTAAATGAAATTTTGTTTGAAACTGCTTTGGGGATCATTTCTTGATATAATTGGTGATAATTCTGGTATGCCACAGAATGAAGTCTGAGCAGGTTTCCTTTGCCAAGGGGACAGTGCTAACAACTCAAGTTTGCTGAAAATCTGCAATTGTACATGTTTTGTGGGACATTCTTCTGTGTAAGAATGTTTTAAGAACCACAGCCCTTGATCTTTGGACGTGTCATTTGCTTGAATAGAGAAGTTCTCCCTGTTGTGAAATTTAGAATAATTTTTTTACCTGTTTTTTAATAGCCTCATTTCAGCACTCTAGTCTCCTCCACATTTGGGACATTGATTTTTTTCTGTGCCCCATTGTCCACACTTAATCTTCATACTTCTCTTTTCTTCAAGTTTCCAAGCCTTAGTTAATTAATCTTCTGTAAACCCTTAAGAGTCAGCGTCTCTGTCTCTTCTCCTGACTTATTATCTCTTTGTTGATCATAATACTGTTGACCACTTTTTTGAGTGATGCTACTTACCCTATCTATATCAACCATAATTTTTTGAGACTTGAAGTTTTAGGGAATCCTTACATAAGACTTACTCTTACTTCTGACTATAGGTTGGTGATGGTACTTCTTCTTCTTCTTCTTTTTTTTTTTTTTTTAGAGAGAGAGAATTTTTTAATATTTATTTATTAGTTCTTGGTGGACACAACAGCTTTGTTTGTATGTGGTGCTGAGGATCGAACCCGGGCCGCACACATACCAGGCGAGTGCGCTACCACTTGAGCCACATCCCCAGCCCCTGGTGATGGTACTTCCTGTTGGTAATTTAGGTTTTGCTTTCACTGGACATCTCTCACTGAGGCTTAGAAATGACAGTTTTTCTAAATATCATGACAGATACCAAGTAGGACAGGTTTCTTTTATAGGAAACCTTTTATTGGTTAAAGGTATATTGAATTTTTAAGTACCTTGTCTTCAGTTAACATAGGATGCTCAACCCTTCTTCAGACCCTTTTTTTTATCAGAACCTGTTGTCTGCTTTTAATTTAATCTTGGCTATGATCTGCCTTGCTCATTTTCAGAAATAGCTACTTTATGACAGACTACTTATTATTTACACCTTTGTGTTTTGATTTAATTTTTTAAAAATATTTATTGTTTTAGTTGTAGATGGATATAATACCTTTATTTTTTATGTGGTGCTGAGGATCGAATCCAGGACCTTGCATGTGCTAGGCGAGCTTAGCCACAACCCCAGCCATTGATTTAATTTTTCTTAAAAGAACATTATGATTTCCTAATGGCCATTTTTTTTCCTAACAAAATTTCTTCTAGACCTAACCATTTCATTTTGACTATCTCCCAAACTATCTTAGAATCTACCATTTATTATTCTCTAGATTAGTGTTTAATTTAAATAGAACCTTTTATGTCATCATGTTATGCTGTTACTTCATTAGCTTTATAATAAGTCATTTTATCTTATTTTTTGGGGGGGAGCATCCTTAACACTAATTATCAGAATGCTGTTTATAGATGTGCAGAAACAATTTATTCTTAGTTCATTTAAATTTTTTTTTCTTTCAAACATCTTTTCTCCCCAGATAGGCTGTGCATTTTCTCTTTATTTCATATTTGCATTTTTCTCTTTGTTTCAGATGATGATACTAGGACTGAAAATGGAGCACTAGCTCCAAAACAGGAAATTCCTTCAGCAGTAGAATCTCATGAAGTTCCTGGTACTCTCAATATAGGTGTTCCTCAGATTTTTAAATATGGAGAAACCTGTTTCCCAAAGGGCAGGTTTGAAAGAAAGAGAAATCCCTCTCGGAAGAAACAACATATATGTGATGAATGTGGAAAACACTTCAGTCAAGGCTCGGCTCTTATTCTCCATCAAAGAATCCACAGTGGGGAGAAACCTTATGGCTGTGTTGAGTGTGGGAAGGCATTCAGCAGAAGTTCCATCCTCGTACAACATCAAAGAGTCCATACTGGAGAAAAACCTTACAAATGTCTTGAATGCGGGAAAGCCTTTAGCCAGAATTCTGGGCTTATTAATCATCAGAGAATCCATACTGGGGAGAAACCTTATGAATGTGTTCAGTGTGGGAAATCCTATAGTCAAAGCTCAAATCTTTTTAGGCATCAGAGAAGACACAATGCAGAAAAACTTCTGAATGTTGTGAAAGTTTAAGAAGTCACACAAACACACACACACAAATCAGCACTCAGGTCTTTTTCTTCAGAAATGAAGACACAGTTAAAAACATGAAGTGATATAGAATAGTTTTTTTCCCTATTGACTGTCAGAAAATCCACTGGGAAATACAAAAACGTCTTCATTCACCATTATTATTTTATCTTAGAAAAAAATGGTGTTATACCTGCCTAAAAACTGAAATTTTAAACTTAATTCAGGTGTTAATGCCTAATTTCTCCATGTGATGTTTATATTCTCTATTTTTTCCAAATAATGAACTACCTGATTGTTTTTCCCTTTCTTTTAAGTTTTATTTCCTAGACAAATACCTTATTTCTATGTTGATCATTGAAATGTTCTTTGTAAGGATACATTCCTTTCTACTTTTAAAGGGTAACATAGGAACTATAAAGTCTCAAAACCATCTTTTTAAAATATATCTTTCTGTTTTACCTAATTAGAATATACATTTGAGAAAACAGAAGATAAAGAATGGCTGAAAGCATCAAAATAAAAGGAGCCTTAAGATCTCAGATAAGTTATGGTGATAAAATCTCAAAAAAGTGAATGGAATGTCTAGGTTGGGAAGATATACAAATACTTTGATCTCTGCATTGAAATGTAGGAATTTTAAGTATAGTCCATCTCCCACAGGAAACTGACAAACTGCTCATTGTATCTTAATTGGGGCCTGTTAACTAATGAAAATATTTTCCCATTTATTATTTAAAAGTAGTTTAATAATAATTGTAGAAGTGTTAAGGTAGAAATTTTAACACTAAAAATGGCAGTATTGAAAGGCAAATGTAAACACAAGTTAATGGTCTGACTCAAAAGATCTAATTCATCATTCTTTTGCCTTCATCTTTATTAAAGACAGATGATTACCTAATAGGCATCATGTATCAGGTTTGGTATTTTTATTCCTTTGGTACAAAAGGGTTGAACACCAGGCCAAAGCAGCCATGCATTTATTATTAAAACATTTTCTACCGACAAGGCACTGTGCTAGGTACTGTAATCCTACCATTAAGTTGGTAGGTGTTTCTTCCACTGTAAATCATAGGGGATTTAATATAAAGCTGTTTCATGTAGTTACCCTCTTTCCCCCTGTCAGCATTCCCAGGAGTGTCACCTCTGAGATTCCCAGAGCCATAGTTCTCTTACCAGGGTGTTGTATTTGGAGGGGGATGAGGAATCAGCTCAAAGAGCTAGCCAGCTCTCCAGCATTCTTCAGAGGTGAGTCCAGGATACATTCTTATCACAGTTTGGAGGTTTATGAATCTCTTTTTTAAAAAAAAAAAAAAATCAATCTCTAGTAGTGTTGAGGTTGTACCTACATGTTAAGTTAAATGGACTGTTCTTTAAAAATAAACAACTAGGCTATTAACAACTAGTTTATTAACTATCAGATTGATTGAACTATTTTTAATTTTCAGTCTTAACACATTTTTTAAAAATGTATTAAAGTAATACATTGTTAGTAGTAGGATTATATACTCCTTGACTGAGAATTCCAAGTACTGTGTTTCTACTGCTTAGTGGAAAACTCTAGAAGTTAAAATATTGAATGAGAAAAGGCTTTTTACAGTGGGCATCATTGTATGGAAAGTGATCCATGCAAATCCAAATATTTCATAGTTGCAGAGATTTGGGTTGTATTTGGTGCTTGGATCAAATTTTAAAATGGGAAGATGATTTGCATGAGCCTGATAAAAAGCATAGTAATAAATGCAAGGCCAGCTGGTGGAGAAGTGAGGCAGAATGGAGCTTGTTTATAGATTTTCTGATAACAATTATAAGAAATGTGCTTTATAGATTAAGATTTATTGAAGTATAAATATGTAGTAATGATATAATGTATTTTTAAGTTATACAAGAAAATGTAGGGACTTTTGTTGGGGTCTTTTTTCCTTGTGACTGAGAGGAAACAAGTCAATGTCCAATAAAGCTATAAACTTCCTCTGCTCTGAGATAAAATGATCTTGAGTTGATTTATTTATTTATAACTTGCTTCTTTCCAAGTACGTTTTAGGTGGCATATTTGGAAGACTGCTGGGATGACAGGATTCTTGTATCAGAGTAGGTAAGGAGTGATGTCTCAGAAGTTGGATTTTATGCTTTCTAAGATCTTATATTTGAGGAAGCTTCCCTTTGGTAGATTTGTCAGAAATGCCAAAGATGTTGGGTGTTGTGAGAGCACAGAAAAAGTAGCATTATATTTGGCAAATCTGTTTTTGTTTTGCCAGCTGATACCTGTCCATAGTTCAAATTCTAAGGCAAGGCATGTGGGGAAAGCAACTAGATAAGGAAAAAAAACAGATGGTGGTACACAGGGAGAGGATGTGATGGGATGTGTGCTCACCATCTTTGGTTAGGGTTAACTAGACATTGATTTAGAATAGCTCATTAGTGATTTATGGTTTCATTCAGACATTTCACTTATGCCCATACAGAAAATCATAGTAAATTGGTTGCCAAGCAGTGACCTAACCAGAACATGTGTTTGGTTAGCAATGAACTATTGTGTTAGGGGCTTGTAGTAGCCTTTAGGTACTGGGAGCATTTGCTAGTTACTGTTAAGTTTTATAGTTTTCTTGGAGGTTATGCTCTTTACATTCATAGCAGTCGATACTTGACCATTTAGCAGTGTCTTACATTTGTGTCAAATGAAGGGGAGGTTACACATATTGAAATAATCTGCATGCTAAGTATTGGATTACCTATCGCACCTAGATTTGTAGACTAGGAAAACAAGATTCAGAGATACATGACTTACATGTTTCCAGTTAAAACTAAAACTCAAATCTAGTTCTGTGGACTCAAGTACAGATAGTTTTCACTATAAGGCTGTTAAATCTTGGTTGATAAATCTTACATTTTTATGTTTTTTGGTTAACAAATGTGAAAACAAGATGCTCAATGATGTTTTTAAAAAAATTTTTTGTAGTACAGAAATGTAAAGTTAAAAAGGACATATTCTTTCAAAGCCTTCCTCAGAAGTGATGGTGGTTTGATTTGTTGTTCTTCCAGATTTAGGTATATACATATTTAAGCAAAAATACTTTATTTGGTAACACTTGGGGGTTGGGTTGCTGCCTATAGACACCTATTAAAGTGCTTTACCATGGAATAACTCTTTAACCCTCAGTAACCATATGAGGTTGGTACATATGCCCATTTTACATATATTGCACTAAGACTTGCCCCCTCCCTCTACATTGATATAGACATTTTTTATAGCTGAATACTATTTCATTGCATGAATATACTCTTAGTTAACCAACCCCACATTGATGGATTATTAGGTTTTTTATAAATAACAGGCATAGTTAACATTCTGTACATACATATATTTTGTTACCTTTGTGGGTATTTCCGTAATACAAATAGCTAGAAGTGTATTTATTGGATCAGGGAATGCACATTTGACATTTTTGAAAAATCAAAAAGATTATACCAGTTTACAACTCCATTCAGTAGTAAGAATGACTGTATGCCTACACTCTTACCAATGCTGTGTCCTTAAAATTTTTTGCCTGATAGGCAAATGTGGTTTTTATTTGTTTTATTTCTTTTCTTTGATTAACAAGGAGGAACATCTTTTCATATGTTTACTGGGCATTTTTTTTTTCCTATTGTGAATTGCTTTTGCCCATTTTTTTTTTAATTATGAAGGTATAAATGACTACCTTCTCATTATACAAAACTTAAAAGATACACAAGTATAAGAGCAAAGAGACTATTTTTTTCAGGGCTTCCAGTCAAATTCCACTTTCAATAGTTCAATATACATCCTTCTAATACCCCTTTCTATAAATTTCCATGTGACCATTCATAAACACTAGGATCATACATCTGAAATTCATTTTTTTATCTCAGAAATGACACTGAGGTCTTTAAATTTCTTTTACAGTTAAATGGGATTAAAACTATGAAAATACCATTATTTAACTATTTTCTCCTTTTTTCTTCTGCTATTACATTGCCAAAGTAAACATTCAGATCTTTGTGGATGTGTTGAATAATTCCTTAGGTTGGAGTCCTGTAAGGTAGATGGTTGGGTTTAAAAGTTTGCGGTCTTACAGGCCCACCTTAGCCTTCCAAAAGGTCTTCATGAAAACTAATATATTTTCACCAACTGTATGGAAAGTGCTCCTTTCCCCACATAGCCTTACCTATACTTGATAGTCTTTAAATGTTGGGCAAAAAAGAAAAAAGAAAGCCCTTTATTTTGCATTTCCCTGATAAATAGTGAAGTTGGAATTATTTTTGTGGTTATCAGTCATCTATAGTTATACCATGGATTGTTCGTTTCTTTTACCTGCTTTCCTATTGCGTTGTGTGCATTTGTTTTTATTTGTTCATCTTTTTTCCCATCCTCTAATAACAACCCTTATTTATTGCGGTGAACCCATTCCCTTGTGGCTTAGGTGAGCACGTGTCCTGGCCTCCTCAGTCCCACAGCTCCCTAGCAGCAGCTGTTAAAAAATGCTTGTGTAATTTAAGCCAGGCTAAAGAGAGCCCTCAACAGAACTGCTAAAACTACTGGAAGAAGGCTTCACAGAGATCTTAGGAACCAAGAACCACTCGAGCCTGAATTTGTACTATGTGGAGAAAGCCTATCTGAGGAGAAACTTGGAGGCCAACTAAAATGGAAAGAGAACTACTAAGTTCTGATGTCATTTTTCTGGAGGCCCTAGATCCAGCTGTGCCTAAAGCCCTGCCCTACCTCCGGACTTTTTGTGAGCCAATAAAGTCCCTTTCTTGTTTAAGATAATTGGATTTGGTTTCTGTCCTGATAAACATATAGATTATTTGTATTTTCTCATTGATTTGTAGAAGACCTTTGTAATTTAAAATTCTAGGCTTATACTTCACACATTATATGAATTAATAAAATCAGCATGGCCTTCCATTATTTGGCCTCTGTCAACCTCTGCCATTTGTCATCCTGCTCTCCCTATACCACATGCCATACACACACACTTTACTTTTCAACAGTAACTGCACATCTATGTTGAAATGCATGAATCAACAGTTTCACACAGCCACTTTGACAGTTCTCTTCCCATCCTTCCTCCAGATTAATTTGTGTGAGACTCAGGTATGATACTGTTGGGTCTGTATTGCACCTACTTTCTAATGCTGCACTTAGAACACTCCCTATGACTTGATATCCACCCCACCACCAACAACAACATGGTTCTTTGAGGTTATCAGACCTGTGGATTTGTAGATGCTCAAGACCTGCGCAATAAATTAATACGTTTGGTTTAATAATACTGGTTTAATACTTAGAAACGGGGACAGGTCTTTAAAGAACATCCATATGAATGTATAGAGAACAAAATGTTAGTGGAGTGTTACTAGAACTACACATGACTGGGTGATTTTTATTTCTAAACTTACTATTACATTACCTTCATAAAATACATAAAGAAACATTTTAAGAATTTAAAACCAGATGGTGATTTTGTTTTGTTCAACTGTTCTCAGCATCCTGTCATATTCCTTTGCCCAAAACTTCTAGTGGTCTATCATCTCGTTCAAAGGAAAAGTCAGTTCTGCCAGTGGCCAACCAGGTCTTCACTGACTGCCTGCTCCCCTCACCCCCTTTATCTCTCTGGCCTTACCTTTTCCCCATGTTCATTCTCTCCAGCCACATTATCCCCCTTGCTAATCAAACATGGCTTCCACATCAAGTTCTTTGTAATTCTGTTCCCATGCCTGGAATAGCCTTCCTCCGGAGTCTCATGGTTGATTTCCTTAAAGTTTGCTTTGTGCAAACTTCCCTGACCAACCTGTCTAAATTGCATTACCTTTCCTCAATACGTATGTACCTAAAATGTATTTATTAGAAAACAGGAAACCACTTACGATTATCACAGGTTGACTAGTTAATCTTGTATCTTTCTTCCTTCTCAATTTTAGACCAACTGCTTCTATGTAAGGCTAACTTCTCACTGGATCCAAGTCCTTTCACATAACTCAACATTCCAGTAATCCTTAGCCTCACATCAAATCACCTTCTGGGTTTTTCTAATTAACAAATAGTTATACTGTTTTTGTCACTGAAAACACTTCCAAAGCCAGAGGTACATGGTGGAGCATACCTGTGATCCCAGTGACTGGGGAAGCTGAGGTAGGATGCGGACAGTTTGAGGCTAGTCTCAGCAATTTACTGAGACCCTGTATCACTAAAAAAAAAAAAAAGTCTGGAATGTGGCTCAGTGGCTAAGTGCCCCTGGGTTCAATCCCCCAGTACCAAGAAGAAAACAACCTTTCATGTCAGATGGGGTACAGGGACCAGATCTAACCTGCCTGACCAAGTAGAGGGACAAAATATATCACACAGAGGCAAAGAATGGGAAACATGAAATCTCCACAAGAAACCAGTGATGTAAACTTAAATTGCCCCAGTTTAATACCAGGCCACAACACAGGGACCAGGAAACCAGACCTAGCTTGGAATTAAGTGGAGAAAATGGAGCAAGGGGTCCCAGGAGGCCATTGTAGCTGACTTTTGCAGGTCAGAGTACCAGAGAGGAGATAAGTGCACAGAAAGAAGACATGAATTTTGTAGAGGATTCCTCCTTTAGTATTCAGTTGAGTACTTAAAAGCACAATTGAGTTTGGGGAAAGAACAAAGAGATTAGAGGAGAAAAATCACTAGAAATCACAAAGAGCCAGAGTAGGAAACTTTGTAATCCACCGGACATGGGGTAGAGCAGTGGTTCTCAAAGAAGAGCAACTATGCCCCAGGAAACATTCAGCAATGTCTGAAGATGTTTTAAGCTGTTACGCCAGGAGAGATGGGCTATTGGCATCTAGTGGGTAGAGGCTTGAGATATGTTGCTAATCATCCTACAAGGCAAAATAATGACCTAAACATCCCTGAATGTAATATAGATATATACATTAATATGTACATGGGTAATATATCATGATATATATTATAATATATACAGGGTATATATATGTATATATGGATGAATTTTGAAATATGCAGCACCCAACAAAGCACAAAATATACAATGCCTGTCATCTAATGAAAAAAGTCATACAAAGATTTAACTGTATACCAACAATGAACATATGAAGCTTGATGTTAAAAACAATACCAGTCCCTCTAAAAAAATGGATATAAATCTAACAAAAATTTCACAAGATCTATATGAGGAAAGCTACAAAACTTAGATTGAAAAAAAACTAAATAAAATGGAGACATTCACATTTATGGATAGGAAGCTTAATATCAAGATGTCAGTACTCAACTTCTCTAGATTTAATGCAATCCCAATAAAATCAAAGCTAATTTGTGAATACTGACAAACTGATTCTAAAGTTTACATGGAGAGGCAAAATGCCCATAACAGCTAACACAATACTGAAGAATAGCAAAGCTGAGGACAGGCAATATCCAATTTCAAAACTTACTATAAAGCTACAATAACAATAGTCTTGGTGAAAGAATTGTCAAGTAGATCCAGGAGACAGAATGGAGACCTCAAAATAGACCTACATAAATGTAGTCAACTGATCTTTGACAAAGTAACAAGGGCAATACAATGGAGTTAAAAGATTGTCTTGGGGCTGGGGATGTGGCTCAAGCGGCCCGGGTTCGATCCTCAGCACCACATACAAAAACAAAGATGTTGTGTCCGCCAAAAACTAAAAAATAAATATTAAAATTCTCTCTCTCTCTCTCTCTCTCTCTCTCTCTCTCTCTCTCTCTCTTTCTCAAAAAAAAAAAAAAGATTGTCTTTCCAACAGATAATACTGGAACAGCTGGGTGGAGTAGGACACACCTATAATCCCCACAGCTAGGGAGGCTGAGACAAGAGAACTGCAAGTTGAAGCCCAGCCTCAGCAACTTAGCAAGTTCCTAACTAATTTAGTGAGAACCTGTATCAAAATAAAAAATAAAAAGAGCTGGTGATGTGGCTCAGTGGTAAAGCGACTCTGGGCTCAATCCTCAGTACAAAAAATTAAAAATAAGAATCAAGACAGATCTTATATCTTTCACAAAAATTAAATCAAAATGGATCATAAACCTAAATATAAATTGCAAAACTAAAAAACCACAGAAAATCAGATACTTCGGGACTAAATGAAGGATATGGGTTTACCATAACCCCCAGGACAGGGAAATGACAACCCCCCAAAAATGTCTGACCTGAAGGAGGAGGAAGAGGGTGGTGGAAAACAATTATTAATCCTCTCCCAGTAAGTCTTTTCCAAGAAACAATGGACCCCGAGGAAAATAAGCAATACTCATCCCTTTCCAGGTTCAATCCCCAGCATCTCCACCAAAAGCAAACACTCATCCCTTCCCAACAACCAAGGGTCCTGAAGGCAGGAGGTGGATACTGAAATGCTGGGTCCTGGACTTTCACCCTTTCCCATTGTCCATGAGTCCAGGAAGGAGAGGGTAAACAGTGAAGCTCTGGGTAACAGTGGACCCCAGAGGAAGAAAATAAGCAGTGGGGGCCCGAACTCTGAGCTTTCATCTATCCCCAGTAACAATGAGTTTCGAATCTTTACAACTTTGCCCAGCCCGCCATGTTTTGCCTGAGCCTCTGATAATTAACCAATCACACTGTAACCTGTAAAACTCAGAATCCTTCGTAACTGGAGGCCATTTTCCACTCCAAAAATGAGCCTCTCCGATGCCTGACTGATTGACTCCACTGCTGAATAAACAAAAGTTTGCTGATCCATTTGAGGTCTGCTTCCATTTCCAGTTATTTGTGCTTACACCAACCAGTGACTTTTTAGATACAACACCAAAGGCATGATCTATGAAGGAAAGAATTGATAAGCTGGTCTTCATTAAAATTAAAAATTTTGCTTTGTGGAAGACATAATCATGAAAATAAAAGGCAAAGCCAGCTGAGAATGGTGGCACACACCTACAATCCCTGCAACTCAGGAGGGTGAGGCAGGAGGATTGCAAGTTCAAGCCCAGCCTCAGCAACTTAGTGAGACCTGAGTTTCAAAATGAAAAATAAAAAGGACTGAGGATGTAGCTTAGCGGCAGACTACTCCTGGGTTCCATCCTCAGCACCCAGAATGAGACAGAGAGAGAGACAGTGGGGGAGAGATGGAAAGGGAGACAGCACATGCAGGGGTGAACTCACAAACTGGAAGAAAATATTTACAAAAAAATACTTAATAAAATACACTATATAACACTGTACAAAGAAGGTCATGTATTTCCCATATACTCTATACTGAAGTTAATCTGAAGAAGTTACAAATTGTGTGATTCCTACTATATAACACTGAACAAGAGGTTACTAACATACCATGTGATTCCTACTATATAACACTATACAAAGTATATTTTCAAAATACACAAAGAACTCTTAAAACTCAACAAGAAAACAAAAACCTGATTTAAAAATGAATCAAAGTCCTTAAGAGACACCCCACCACAGAAAATATATTGATGGCAAATAAGCACTTGAAATGATGTTCCACATCATATCATCAGGGTAATGCAAATTAAAGCAAGAATAATATATTACTACACAACTACTAGAATGGCCAAAATCTGGAACACTGTCAACACCAAGTGCTAATAAGGAAGTAGACCAAGTGGTATTCTCCACACGACTGCTGGGAATGTAAAACAATAAAGCCACTGCAGAAGACAATTTGGCAGTTCACAAAGCTAAATGCAGTCTTACTATACAATTGAACAACTGTAGCTCTTGGTTTTTACTCAAAGGAGTTGAAAACTTATATTCACACATAACCTCCATAAAGATGTTA